TGATGACTAGCTGCCTTCTCTCTAGTCTTACACTGCTAAATTAGGGACGGCTAGCGCAGATATCTCTAGTGTAGCTTTGCGCGAAATTCAAAACAAACAATCCTATTGGTAAAATTAAGAATTATTTTCATCAGCCATTTTAAGATATTTTAATAATTCTGGTAAATCTACGCTTTGCCTTTGTAAACATAGATGTTTCTATGACAATTTCAATCATAACACACTACTACTACTTATTCATATTAAGTGAATAGTTGCAGACCATGTATTTGTTCTTTGACAACACGTTTGCGCAATTCGGCCAACATGTTTTCCAACAAATATACAAGTAATTCCAATGAGAGGTACTTCACTCTACAAGTTTTATATTTATTCGAAATTATATTTACTCAGCGGTAAGTTTCAGGCTTACGACGATAAAGATTAGGTTTCGATACCTGTGGTGGGCTCATCACAGATAGCTCATTATGTAGCTTTGTACTTAACTACAAACAAACAAGCAAGCTGACCAAATATTGTGAGGTACTATTGGGTTTATGGCCAAAAGTATCGTTAATACAAACAAACATAGCAAATATTAGTAAGTAAGACTATAATAAAGCTTTGCACATCAGTTACGCTTATAGATATATAAAAATAATTTTCTTATAACTAATTACCAAATTTTTTCTTGACATAACCGAAGAACTTTACCCACCGTAACTGAATACGCACTCTGGAAAAAGGTTTTTTTCACTAAACACATAAGTTCTGACATAGCATGGTGGTTAGGCCGCTCGACTCGCAATCTGATGATCGCGGGTTCAAATCCCTGTCACCGAATATGCTCGCCCCTTTCAGCCTTGGGGCGTTATAATGTGACGGGCAATCCCACTATTCGTTGGTAAAAGGGTAACCCAAGAGCTAGTGGTTGGTAATGTTGACTAGCTGCCTTCACTCTAGTCTATCATTGATATGTTAAGGACGGCCAGCGCAGACAGCCCTCGAAATTGCACGAAATTCAAAACTAAACAAAAATCTCAAAACCTTATTTATTTATCATCATCAGTACTCAAACATTCAAGTTCAAAGTTTTTAATAAAACCTATTATTTATATTTTGAAGCTATAAGTTTTCTTCTATAAATATAAGTATTCCAAATAAGCCATGTAAAATGTTTAATACTCACTATTTATTAGATGCAATAGAACCTGTTCAACCTTACAAGACTTCTTGGACAGAGCTCGTAAACATGGTTTCTCCTATTGCATTTTAAACACAAAATTCATTCGCTTTTTATTTAGAGAGATTTGAAAATATTCTTGCTATTAATTTTGTGTGTGTGTGTAGAAATTTTTCGTAATATCACAATATTTTTAAACTCTTACGTCCACACTTTAATTTCTTTAGAAATTAAGATAATGTTGAACTGCTTTAATGTATTAACAACTAGTAGTTTTACCTCTCGTTAGATAAAGCTCTTACTATATACATATCTTACTATAGTTGATATAGTTATATGAAAGTGTCATATATGATATGTCAATACGTCACTAGTTGAGTTACAATAATTCTTTATTTTCTCTTAATTACTTTTACTTTATTTGCCATATTTACAGTCATATTATTACAGTCTTCCTGCTCTAAGTCTTATTATTACTGATCTCTCGAATTTTATCTCATTTACTTTTGGGCATTTATAGAAGGTTTAACTTTATTCATTGGTTCATGTTGTTCGCT